CAATTTAATTTAAAGGATTAGTTTATTTAAACTGTACCTCGTGATTTCTGGTTTGAATTGCTTGATGAGGTCTGATGGCTAAAAAAGGTATAGGATTAGTTTTGCAGGTATAGGTTTGAGTTTTCAATTTTGGAGTTCTTTTGAGACCTTGCACATATTCTGCCTTAAATATGCTACAAGGCTTGATTCAGTGTAGTTATGCCAACCATTTTTGAACTTGACTTGTAGTTTCTCAGCTCTCGTACTTCACTTCATTGGACAAGGCTGGTGTTAGTCATGCATATGGCTCCATCAATATATTGGTTTGTGATACATTCATGCTTAAGTAACCCGACTTCTATGTTTATAATCTTTAAGTTGCTTGCTAGTTTTTCAATCCCCAGTATTTTGCTATATTAATCATCTCTTACTTGTGCCTTGAAGTTGCAAACATGCAATTGAGTTCTTTAGTATTTGACATAGGATTCTTATAGTCTCTGGTACTTTTGGTCCTGCAGGAAAGACAATAGTGGACTACACTAATCATGATGACATGAAATAAGCTTTAAGTTATCAATTTCTCAAATGTTGACTGCTCTTCTCAGGAGGATACTTTTCTTTTCTCATTCCTGACTGAATACATTCGTAATATCAGGCAGACTAATAAATGAATTATTTTCTTTCCATGTCTATAGGTCAAGAAACTTGATGACTTGGAGTTTAGGAATGCTTTCTCTCGAGCTAGAGTACATGTATGACGGAATATTTTTTTATATATGGCATACAATTATTTACACATACTCTACTCATAATATCTTTCATTACAGGTGAAGGAATACGATGCAAGCCGTTCAAGAAGTAGAAGTAGAAGCCGCTGCCATTCTTACTCAAGAGGAAGGAGCAATAGTCGAAACCGGAGCCATAGTCGAAGTGACAGTTGGAGTAGGAGCAGAAGGTGAATAGGTGATCTCATGTTGTGTCTTGGTTTATAGTTTTTGTTTTTACCAGCTATTTATCAACTTAATAAATCTCCTTGCAGCAAGTCACCTAAACTCAAACCTTCATGCAGTTCAATGTCCTGGTGTTGCTCCATATCAAAGGCACACTCTGTTTCAAGGTAACTTCTTCTTCATTTTTTTTTATTTTTTATTTTTTGTTACTAGATGTATAATTGGATGAGATATTGTCCATTTGTATTTCCCTTATCCAGAATAGGCATAAATTTTGAAGCTCATTTATATTTTATCACTAATGATTTTTGTTCTTTATGCTCAATTCCTTTTCTTGGGTTCGTGCTGAATATTTGTATATTTTTATGGGTAATAGATAGTCTTTTAAGGTCCTCATTTTGTTTTATAGATCTTTTCTACCACCATATGGTTTGTTTTCTGTCATAGTTCAACCTAATTTTTACTTCCTATGCTTTATAACTAAGCCCCCGTTTGGCCCCCATTTTTTGAAATTAAAATGGGTGTAATAGTATTTTTTTGGAGAATGAGTGGTGAAAAAGAAGGAAAAATTTTCGGTTTACGTGTAATATTATTTTATGGAAGATTATGTGATTGAAAATTGGGGAGAAAAAAATGAAATTTAATTTAATGGTTATGTGATTGAAAATTGGGGAGAAAAAAATGAAATTTAATTTAATGGGGGCCAAACAGGAGCTAAGTAAAAGAGCATATGTTAACAATTTATGTATACTTTGAGTAGTAATTTATATAGGTAGACAATCTGCTCAATGTGTAGTTAACTCTTGTTGGGGATCTTTGTTTACCATTGAATTCACCAAATTCTTTAAAATTGTGGAGCCTAAATGAAAGACTCTTTTGTTTTTGTGTGCACGGTTATATGCATCACGTACATATGGTGTGCTTCACGCTTATGTTCATTCTTTCGTTGGTATCGGTATATGCTAAATATTTTTTTTTTCGTAGTCCATTCTTGCTGTTGTGCGTTTCAGCATAACAATTATTAGAGCAGTACTTTGTGTCTGGTGTATTGTGTAATGCTGGTGTTTACAGTCATATCAACCTTGGTTTTGAAATCATATGTTTTAGGAGGAGCACCTGAGGGAGTTGGGGTGCAAAAGAATCAAGCTGAGATTTGTTATTGTCTTGGTGTGACTCAAATTGTTACCTCAGAACTTGGATTCACTCTAATTTTGTCACCTCGAACTTGGTTCATTCCACGGGCATCCAAAATGACAACTCTAATTGATTCATCTGTTGTATCTGCTTTCATGTTGAGTTCTGCTTGTTTCAGATCCCTTCAATAGTGAGGTGTTTCTGACTTCCAATGCTGAGATTGACTAGTATGAGGAGAATGGAATAATATCTATATAAATAAATCGAAATGAAGAGTTCAATCACAAGAGCTTCACATACCCAAAATTATTGTCTTTGATACACCTCCTTCATATGATGATTCTTCAGATATCTGAACCATCTAATGATATGCAGTATCAAGCTCTCATTTGATTGTCCCTTTATTCTAAAAGAAAAATATATCCTGATTTGTCTCATTCTATCTGCCTTTCACTTTGGCAATGACTCTTTTTCCTGGGAAAAAAAAGTTGGACAAAAGTTTTGGAGGACAATAGTACCAATATGTTTGGTGGTGGTACTGCCATTTGGGTTCCTCAATTTTAGTTGGATCCTAGACTGGTATCTTGCTGGCTCTCAAAAACATTTATAGGTGAAATTATAGTGGGAGTACCATTAAGATTATTGATATTACCATGCCTACAGACAAATTTAGAATGCCTTTTCCAGCCCTTGACTTCAAGCAAACTGTTTCAACAATGGTGGTGAAGTTGCCAACATTTTTTTGTTGCCTTTAGGGAAGGGAGCTTTGGGTCCAGTGGCCTGAGAGACTCAATTGGGGATAAAGAGGAGAGTTCCCAAAGATGGATAAAGCCCTTAATCTATAAGATAAGTAAGTCTCCCTAAACTATACAAGAGCGCGTGTGCGTCCAACCCATGTGGGGTATGTTTATGCCGGATTCTACAAAGAATACAAATGGAACATAGCCATATGTGTTCTCTGATTATATCTTTTAAAATGTCCACACTAACCATCCATCTTTCCCCTACCTTTTGTTAGATGTAGAGAATTGAACCCCCCCCCCCCCCCCCCCCCCCCCCACAACAACAAACCCCCCCCCCCCCACACACACACAAAATTAAGTAGAAGAAAAAAAAAGAGAGAAACATACACGACACACGCGCGCACACGCACACTATAAAGTTAACATGTGATGCTTTACGCCCATGTCTAACTTGTTATAGATGCCGCTATATTCTAACGTGGAACAAACACTAGCTTAAGCACTGCTTTGTTATAGTAAAACACTAAGTTCAAGTTCAGTACAATACTTAAGAGAGAATATTAATAGAATAAATGCAATTTATAAGCATGGCTTAGAAACATTAGTCTATGTGGCAGCGGATCACTGAAATGATAAAAGAAAATTGGAATTTATTTGTTCTGCCAAGTCCTGCAATGGCATTAATGAGCTGAAAGCACCTTCCACAAATGTCTGTGTGTTGATGCTAATGGTCTCTAAGTCAGAGATATTGGCCGTCTCAAGATCAGAGGGTTTAAATTGATTTTTTGGTCAATTCGAATGAATCTTGGCTGGTCTTACTCTCACTGGAATTGATAGGATTGGGATTGTTATCACTTTTATGCTCGCTGACGAAACCTCACACTTATAAATGAAAGCTTAGGAGCTTGAACTTGGGGATGAACCAAAGCGTTAGTAGGCGACACCCTTGCTGATGCCTCTTCAAAATTCTGATTGGTTGATGCTCTAGGTTTCTTCTTTTTTTGTGTTTATTATCAACTTTTCGGAAAGTTGCTGCCTGGTTTCTTGTCTTTAGAAGAGGATTCTTCTGCACCTCTCTCCCTTGCTTTAGTCACTTTTGCTAAAACATTGGAAGAGTAATTTTCTTTTGAATTTTGAGAGGTAGCAAGAACCTCCTTCTTGTTGGTTGTGGCCTTTGCAACGCCTTTTTCACCTATCTCCAATACTACCACATTCTCTGATGAATTATAATATTGAAAAATGTGGCTGTTATCCTAGTGCATAGATTGCTATATGCAAGCGGTGCTTATAAATAGCATTACTCATAAATATTGAACTATTTCACGAGCCAAGCATGAGTTGTCCTCGGATAACTCTTCTCATTTGCATGTCTAGTTGGACTTAAACCTAGTTTCTCTCTCTCATCAGTCCTGTGTTGTTCCTTGCTCTTAATATTGTCTTTAATTGTGGTGCTGACAGAACGTATCTGCTTGTTGAAAAATGGTCATATAATTTTTTCTCATGAACCTGGAATTACATTTTTTTTTTTTTTTTTTTTTTTTTTTTGGAGATATGGATACATTTGCGGTATGGGATAGCATGTTAGGATCTTGGTGGGATAAGATTCAATTGCCCACATCTCTTTTTGTTGTGGAATTGCGATGTTTTGTAGATGGTAGCTTTGGAATCCTTTCTGATGTCGCTGTTCTAATTAGTATCACATATGTCCATGGGTGCTAGATGGGGAAGAAAGGACATCATGGATTGCTGAGGCGGAGCTGGACTGTGAAATAATTGCCATTTGAATGAGGGAACACCATCTGTTTGTGGTGGATTTTTAACTGTCTTCAATGCTGGCAGCACCACAGCATAATATCCAAACTTTATTTTGTTTATCTTGCATATTGGTCTTTTAAAATGCAATTTTTAGTTAAGGTTCTGCTTCTTTCTTAATTATGTCGCTTGGTTGTATATGTGTTGGTTCTGCCTTCTCTGTTGTTTCTCTTTCCCCGTGGTGCTAAATGCTCGTGAGTTTTTCTTATCCATTTGGTCACGGTAACTCTATGTGGAATTGGTGTTGGGGCTCTTGGATCATTGTAAGAGGCACAAGTGGATATTAAATTGGATTATTTCTGGAGCATCTTCAGATCTTTGTCAAGATCCAGATCCCCTGCACCATCTGTAAGTTTTATCATTATTATATTTCAAATTTTTATATGCTGTTAATGCGTTTGCTGTTGGTCTGTCAATTTTCCGTTGATCATGGATAACACAGTTATTACCTTGAAATGTAAAGTTTTAATTCTCCTAGTGTATGCTCTATTTCTCCAAATCGTTTTGATCTGTCAAATTTTCAGCGCCAGAAGCATGTTGGCAAGAGTCCACAGAAATATTCTAGTCGTAACAGAAGCATGAGCCAAAGTCGGAGTTGGAGCCGGAGTCCTTCTAGGTTCGCTCTTTTCTTGGCTTATGCGTAACTTTCTTGATCAAGATGAATCCTGATTTTCTATTTGCTTTACACAGATAAGATTTATCTCATGTTGATATGACAAGTGGTGCTTTTTGGTTCCCGACGGGTTACCGATCCATCCTTTGAAAACCTATGTTCTAGTTAATGGATCAATTGACATAATTCTTGTTGAACTATTAGAGTTGTCATTATTATACCCATGATCGCCCTTTTCTGCAAAGGCTTCAAAACAATTACCAATTACCTAAGATTTCCTGAGCTTTTCCTTGGATCTTTTTGTTGGCCATATCTGTTTTTTCATCGTGCTCTTTCACTTCCATTTCAACTCAGGTTCGTATTCTACTGCTGAATCAGCTTATAGTGTGTGCTTATTTTCAGTGCCTTGCTGGAAATCATATCGTGAATTTTCTTTTCATCTTCCCGTGTTGGCACAATCATAGTATGTTTAATAGATTGAACATTGAACTTATCAGTTAAATGAATAGATAAGTGGGGACACATGGGATTTGAATGTAGATGGGTTCTGTGTGTGTTTGAGCATAATTATTATTGTGGTTCTACGAAGTGTGGCGCAGATCATTTTGAACGTCTCAGAGTTCCACTTTGGGGTCCCAGTGTCGCCTCTGTCAATGTCATAAACAACTCACATTCGATGTAGACCACTATTAGAATGTGATTCCGTGTCTTGTATTGTAGAAAAACCAATCACCTCTAATAATGGAGACCGGGCAAATATAAAGCAATTTTGAAAGTGCCTTCAACTTGTTTGGAGCTGAAAATATGAGTACCTCTGCCTTGACTCATCTTACTTGGACGGATCTTGCCGAGGAGCGTAAGGTTTTCGATCGTCGGCTCTCAACTCTTTGAAGAGAGATTCCTGATGTTAAAGGTGGGATCACATCGGCAATGACAAACGAATCAAGCCATGATAAAACTTACAGGTTTTACTCAAATGGATCCTTGTCATTTTTATGATCAAAAAAGGTATTTACAGTAAGAATAAGATGGAAAATAGAACAAAGGAGCAGTTTTCAAAAGATTTAAAACTCGTGAGCCTCTGCAACCAATGATGGAGAAGCGCACTTCTCTTGGTTCCAGCCCCCTATCTTCAATATTTATCTTGCGAGGTTCAACACCGATTGCGTATCTCAATTAATTATATTTTGACACGTGTCGTGTCTATAGAAAAGCGTATGTATATCTTTTATCAGAGAACAAAAGTTCAATTTTATAACAAAGCCCTTGTTGTATTTTTAGCAGTCGAGATCACGTCTATTGATTAGGTACATAACAAAACCGAACCATAATATATGCATTCATCAATAATGAAAAGGATGTTTAAATAGATGGGCCGAGTCGGGCCGGCAAACCCGGTGGATTCTCCTCATACAAGTGATGTGCATCAATCCAATAAATAGATCCTCACTCCGACTCTAAATCAACAAATCTGGCCGCAAAAATCTCTCCACTGAATAGAATTTTTAGTCCCTTTCTGAATCTTACATAGGATTTTCAATCCTATTGACGTGCTCATATCCTTGTAATGAAGATGAAAACCCTTTGAATTCTGTCATTTTCTTGTCAAATCTCGGTAATTTGTTTTCTGGGTTTTTAAATTTTGGAATTTTCATAGTTTATGATTTTTCAAAAAATGTCCGAAAGTGTTTTTTCGAGGCTATCCGATGATATAATTCTGAACATACTTTACAAGCTTGAGGATGATCCCCGACACTGGGCTAGGATAGCCTGTGTCTCCTCTAAATTCGCATCTCTTGTCCAGATCATGTGTTGCAAAACCAAATGTTTGCAGACTATTTCTGCCGTTGTTTCCGATCTACTTTCCAATGTCTCCACTTCGGCTGCCACCCCGCCTGGTGGCTGGGCGTCCCTTTACAAGCTCGCCGTCTGTTGCCCCGGCCTTCTCCACTCCGGCGTGCTCCTTGAGAACTCTGATTTCGGGCTGGAGCGGGAGCTTGGTCCTGATGAGAATTATCAAGAAAATAAGGTACTTCCATTCAAAAAATCTGAAACAATTGCTTCTTCAAGCGGGGGTAATTCCGAGTTAACTGTTTCTGGGTCTGATTGTGGATGGTCCTTGTATGATGATTTATTTTTTGATACCGTTTATAATGCTTCCGAATCGTCGTCATCTCAAAACCATGCTGAAATGTCAAAAGAGCAACCTGAAATTAGGGATCGGGAGAAAGTGGAGCAGGATGTTGATTTTACTTTACCTAAGAGGAGGAAGATTTGTAGGTCACTTAGTTCTCATTTGGCTTCTGGTGTATGGAATTTGAGCCGCGAGCAAGGGAATAAGTTGCTTGCGAGCAGATTTAAAGGAGACTGCTTGTACATTTGCAATTGGCCTGGTTGTGTTCACATTGAGGAGAAGCGGAATTATATGCTTTTTAGGGGGATTTTCAAGAATTTCAAGCAGTCAAGGGTTTGGAGGACGATAAACGATGGGAATAGGAACAAGATTGAACTGAATTGTGCCTTCTGCACCTCCAAAGAAACCTGGGATTTGCATTCTTCCTTTTGTTTGAGAAGGTATTTTGGGTACCATGACGATGGAGAGCCAGTGGTTCGTGCTTATGTCTGCGAGAATGGACATGTGTCGGGGGCATGGACGGATTGGCCATTGTACACATGACATTTTTGTCTCAATTATGGTGGTGATTATGTTTCTACTTTTTTACCAGCTGTTTTTAAGGATTTATTGACAGGATAGATCTTATGAATATCTTTCTTTCTAATTGATTGCATTTGTAGTACTCTATTATATCTTTGATTAATTGATGTACTTTAGAAATTTCTGCTGTCTTCTCAAATTGGTAATGAGTACTAGCTTGTGCAATTTGTGTTGTGGCGCCATCGATTTTGGTTTATCTGTAAGATCATACCCTTTTTTTCTTTGCGAGAACTGAAATTGGAATTGAGTTTCCTTGGATCGTTCTCTCTGTCTTTCAAGAACATAGAATTGGTTCTTATAATTAGCAAACAATAAATAATCTTGATCTTGGGCCTCCTCCTTCCTATACAGTTAGTCGGTATTCTGTTCGACGGAGTGCAGTGGATTGATCTTTAAATGAAATAAAATTTTGAGTTTTATGTTTTTTCTTTCCTGCAAAATTTAAGGAATTACTCGTCCTTTCATGTTTTTGCTGTACATATTGTTTTTGAAATCCGAATCAATGGTCAAGAACATCATATTCCAGTTGTCTGCATTTTAATGCTTAATATTTCATCTCTAATCTAGTGAAAACTTTATGTCTTGTCCCTTCATTAGCCATTCAGTCAGCTGCACTGTTTTGGTCTGAGAAGTTATTAATGTTCATATGTATCTCTTGAAGTGCATGACTGAGTTTGAGATTTTTTCCATTTGATTGCTTGTTCGGTTATAGAAAAAGTAAGTTAAAAATTGTCCATTATAGAGCTACTACGTACCAAGCATGTCCTAAAAGATCCAAACTACTTAATTGGTTTGATGGAGTGTGGTTGCGAATTTATCTCTGTGGTAGATTTCATATATTGATATAAACTAGTTTTTTATGTTCTAACATGACACCATCCATTTAAAGAAATTTGATTGGTTGGTGAGTTCGGTCATGATGTTTAGGCATTAGGCATATATCCCAAGTCTTCTCACGACCAAGTGTAGAACAACGTTCAACTGATTTAACTTGGACATCAGATAGACAGCAACATTGTGCCACAGACTAATGTTGTGCAGTTTAGCAAAGGAAAGATAAGAAAATGATTTGTACGGTGGGAATCAGATATATCATAATGGAGAGAGGATGTTGCGTGCTCATTTTTAATACATTCGCTATCCAGAATGGAAGAAAAAATGCAATTCTCTTCTGTAGAAATGGACTTAAATAGAAATTGTTTAGCTAGCATTTCAATTTCAATTAAAAAAGAAAGAAAGAAAACACAGTTGTCCACACCTCAAATATTTTAAATTAAAGAATTTTTGTCGACAATTCTAGAATTAATTTCTTATCTCACTAGAATTTATTTTTACGTTTTTAAAATTTACCAACAAATCTCGAGACATATTTGAGATGTCCATGTTTATAAATTAAAGAGGTGATAAACCAAAACGATGGCTTAATTTAAATTTTACGAGGATATTACAACATTCTTGAGAAAAATATTATAAAATAAAAATAATTTGTTGTAGTTTTCGGAAACTAAATGGCGGCTGCAAGCAATTATGTAAATATTACGCCCCGTTTGATCACCATTTTTCCTCCAAAATGCATTTTTCCATCTGCCACGGTGGGACCGACTGCCGCTGACAGCTTGTGGCATCATCATCAGCACTTGAAAATTTCCCATTTCGCCCTTGTTGTTTTTGTGTTAGAAAGAGGACAAGACAGCAGACTTTGACGTTTCAAAGGCTGCAACATTTGGATTTTACAATCCTCTTGAAGAAGGAAACGAATACAAACAGGGAATCACATGCAGAAACAATGGCAAAGCAACAAAAAGCCTTCTGTACAGGAAAAAAAAAGGAGAGAAAATTGCTTGAAATATACACTTTCACATGTTCATTTATAAAAATGTTCAATTTCATAAATCTTTGTTAAAATGTGTATTTTAGAATATTTTGGACCAAAATATCCCTATGAACAATTTATGATTCTACACAAAGACAAGAAATTGACATTTTTGCAAAAATTTTATTAGCCAATAAATTTTTGACACGTAACCTGCCATATTTATTTCAAAAGTGCAAATTTCAAATCATAATTAATGCTATTTTTCTCATTGATATAGAAACGTCAAGAATTACATTTCAAGTGTAGAGAATTGTCATGTTTGAAATCAAATGTCATTCTAGAGATTTAAAATGTCGAGAACATTTAATATTATGATTTGACATGTGTACTTTTAAAATATAAATGAGATTCAAATATCGAAAATGATATTTGAAATGTCGAGAACATCATTTTAATATAGCTTCTTATGGAAGCTACTTCTCGAAATCCAAAACAAATTGAAAAAATAAATTGCTTCTTTTTTCATAAAGG